ACGCTCTATTACATCTTTTCTTTTTTCTAACAGCTGTGTAAGCTTTAATGAAACAGCAAGAGCTGATGCAGTTCTTGGCTACCTGATTGCGTTCCTAGTCCTTCTCTCCACAGTGAAACTGTGGCATCTCCTGAGGCTCAACCCTAAGCTAAACATGATCACTTCAACTCTAAGGAGGGCATGGGGTGATATCTCTGGATTCATCACTGTTATTGCAATCATGTTCCTCGCCTATTCCATCGCTGTGAGTACCACTGTCGTTTCTGTTGTCTGCAGTCTGCATCCACGTACTGTCAGGTTAAATGAGTTATTTCTGAATGCTGAAAGCAACATAGCTTTGAAATGTAAAACTGAATAAAGCTGCCTCTCTAAATCTTAGGGTAGCAGCTTGAAGCCCAATTCTTCAGCGTAAGTGAAAGAGAAGTTAAAATATCCACGTGTCTGTTCTTTGCAAACTGAATTTTAGTACAAAAAACAAACACTGAGACAAAAAAAATGGATTCTCAGCGTTTAATAGGTGTGACAAAGAACAAAGTACAGGAAAAATAATTTTCTGAATAAAGCTCAATTGGGGAGAGAGCAGGAAGTGCCATTTTCTGTTTGGCTAATCTTTAAGTAAGAAATTATTATATTTCTGCCTATTATAGGAATACTTATTATGGAAATAAAAATTATATTTCCATTCTAATGAGATTAAAGAATTATTGGACTGCAACTAGTTATGTATATCTACTGTTTTAGCTGAAACATGTTATGTAAATCTTCTGGCAGAGTAATGCGGGAAATTCGGCACATCTCAATTGCAAAATCACTGAAAAAGTGGAAACCATCTGAGCCAAATCCAAACTGTCCTGTAAAGGGCAGTCCTGTGACAAACAGGACCTGCTGCAGTCTCACGCTGCCTGATTTCACGTTCCTTATCTCTCCCTCCAGCACTGACACTCAAGCAACTGAGTAGCTTTAGGCATTGGTGTGGCCACAAACTTAACAGGTGATGAGATCAGTTCCATGACACAGCCTGTTGTCACATCATGCAAGTGATGGAGCTGTGAAAGAAAGAGGCAGAGGGATGGAGAAAAAGGTGAGACTGCAGCAGCCCCCATTTAAATCAGACACAGTAGGCCCACAAGATGCAAATGAAGAAAACAGCACCTTGGTTACTGACGGCAAACAAGGAGGTTGCCTATTTGGAAGGATCTATGCACTGAAAGGCAAGCGTTTGTGGCTATAATTAATTTGGTCAATTATGGAGGGATAAATCTGTGCCTTGGAAGTGGGATAAATTACATTCATGATTTTGTCATGTATTCACAGATTTTTTACTTATCTAGTGGCAAGCTGAGCAGATACAAGACATTCTCGTATCCATCATAAAAGGTCTTACAGCTAAACACATTCAGAAAGCGTGAATTCAGTTCTTAGCTCTAGGTTAGTCTTTTTCTGTGACCTTGTCTGGTGTTTTGTCTGTTTGTAAACAAAAAAAACCCACCCCAGAACACAAAACTCCATGGCTCTGATGACAAGGTAGGAGGTCTTTCTCCGAATACAGCAGTCATCAGCTGATTTTGCAGCAGGTACTCTGATCATGACACAAGATATGCCTTCTTTTCTCCACAGACAAACTTGATATTTGGCTGGAAGCTCTACTCTTACAAAACTCTCTTTAATGCAGCAGAAACCATGGTCAGTCTTCAGCTGGGAATCTTCAACTATGAGGAGGTACCACCTCTGATTTTGAGAAGTTTGTCACTGAGTCATTAGCAGCTCAGCTATCAAGTATGCTTTGGACCAGAAAATAGACTTTCAATTAGTGTTAGACATTAATCTAATTTTGCAAGCGCCACAGTTTCCTAAAGCAGCCACTTTTTCTCATCAACACAAGAAAGAGACACCAAGTGAAATATATCTCACACACCATTTTGACCATCAGTAGACTCAAAATGAACCTTTCACTGAGAAAGGTGCTCACATTTTAACTAGACATGTTACTTATTGATTACAGAAAGTTTTGAGCAATTCCCTTAGAAAGCTACAGAAAGAAATGTGACCAATGCCCTGCATTTGTTCTGAACACGCATCCATCAGCTTCCCAAGAAAGGCAAAGCCTTCCACAAGGGAACTTTGTGTTATGTTTATTTTTATTACTCTTGACTTTTTAATTAAGTTCTTTCACATAGTACAATATCCTTTGAATGACTCTGTGGATTAAGCTAGTTCTCAGACATCTCTGACCGTGAAGCCCTCTTTGGTGGATGTTTTTAGACCACGGATCTCATACCCCAACTGGGTATGGGTAGCTTTGAAGATCAGTAATTGGGCATAAAGTTTTTCATGTCTACAACTCAGGTTGTTAATCACAAAAATATATTCCTACATTACAGTTTACATGAAAACAAAGTTTTTGGATTTCTGCACAACCCTTAGTTGATATGTGTCCATGACAGTCTGACCGGGCTCCTTTGTAAAGACACTACTAAAAAAAAGCACACAGAGATTTTATCTATTCTTTGAAAGCTGAGGCACGATGGAGCTTCAGCTGTTCTGTGGATAAATGGATCTCCAGGCTTGTCAACTTTCATGTGAAACTTTCATATCATTACGTTCAAATGCAAAAATGTAACCCCAAAGATTGCCCATATTCATATATATAAAGTATTCTATCATCCTTGTACTATATCACATCAATGTAGGAAAGTGACTAAAGAAGAAAATTTATATATATAATATATATAGCATAATTTATTGGCCACAAGGATTTTCAGAGACACAAACTCATTGTGTGTTAACTGCTTGTATGTATGCTTTTTTTTTCCCAATCAAAATATGATGTCTTACCTTATTAATGCCACAGGTCTTGGACTACAATCCAATTTTAGGCTCCTTCTTAATTGGATCCTGCATAATTTTCATGACATTTGTGGTACTGAATCTGTTCATTTCGGTGATTCTGGTTGCTTTTAGCGAGGAGCAGAAGCACTACCAGGTGTGTTCATCTAAGCTCTCCTGCCATTTTTAACATTTATTGTGTAGTGCTTACTCATGATTTAGGTATTCTACCATTGAATGAAACCCATGTAAACTCAGTCCAACTCTTAAGAAGTCAACATTTACTCATAAAGCATGCTTCAGATTTTCCAGATTCACGCTGTCCATGCCTGTTCAGACAAGCCCCTGTTCAGATTTAGTACAAGATCTGATTTGTAACCTTCTGTTCACATACTAAATCCAGAAAAGAAGTCTTAGACTTGTGCCCCAGCTCCAGTGAAATCAGTGCCAAAACTGCTACTAAAGTCCATGAGAACTTTACAGATCCTTTTAAAAATGCTACTGCGAGAGCCTGACTCATTCAAGCTATTGATAGCATGGTGTAAAATCCAGTTTAGTAGTCCAGTGCTGCCCAAAATTCCTCTATCTTTTACGTAAAGTCAAGGGAGATGAAAACAAAGAATATGGTCAATAGAAAACAAGATATATTTAGTTTTTCTCCATGACTGCACCTAGAAATGGTGGGTGGCTCATTGTATGTACCACTAGCCGTATGGTAGCGGGCAAGTGAACTCCAGGCTCCTGTAGCAAGATTTCCACTGGCTTTGAGAGCGCCAAAATTTCATCTGTAGCGTCCATGCTCACCCATGACCTTTATCTTGATAAAAATATTTGACATGTTGTTTTGTTTTGGCAGTTACTCATGCTCTGCTTAGAGAGAAAGTTGGCCTCAAGCAGAGATTTTCTCGAGACTTTCTCTGGTTTCATCAGAGACTGTATCCTTCTGGTCTGCACAGCCGAGTCACTTACTTCTCCTTGCTATTTTAGGCTTCAGAAGAAGAGGAGATTGTCGATCTAATGCTAATGAAACTTTTCAGTTTCTTTGGGATTAAATGCAAGAAGGAAGAGAAGCCCGTCACTAACGATTAACTGAAAGAACCCGTCAGCAACTAAATTATAACCACAATGAAAAGTCACTTTGTGGGTGAAAGATTTACTTTTTAACTATCAGCTGCGGTGGCTAGACTTAGGTTATCACGGCTTCTGACTAAAATGCTGTGGCGTTCAACCAATAAACTGTAGCTGACTGTTGTTATTATGGAGCGGTAGAGAAGAAATAATGCTAAACCTAAGATGAAGTGTCCCACGTGTATTTCCTGTAGGCTTAGCATCTGTATTTAATAAACGTTGAGCTGTTGTTGCACCGTTTGACTAAAACCATTCACTTTCCGCCAAGCAAGCGCCACAGGAAGATGGCGACCCCCTC